ATCCTCCCCGATGGGTGCAATACGAATCCTCATCACCCTACCCCGCCCCTACCCCCTGACCTATTTATGTCCCAAAATTCTGTCAACTTTTCTCCACCTGGTGTCGATACCGATTGCTGTAACGACATATATCGATACTCACTGTTGACAAACAATTCCTGGTGTATCGGGAAGGACAAGGCAGGCCTATAATGTTAACGACATATATCGATACTCACTGTTGACAAACAATTCCTGGTGTGTCGGGAAGGACAAGACAGGCCTATAATGTTACGATGTGGCCACATTAAAAATTTTGCCGCGGTTTCTCTGTCTTGTTAAAAATGGTTAAATATTATGTTCAGGGCACAATGTGTACAGGTCTAATATAAAAGAACTTGTACAATAATACTTGTCTTCACATTATCGAACCTGTTGATTTTTCGGCCTTTTAAAATGTTTTAACATAATATCTTTGTTTGTGCCGTGCTTCTTCTTTCTTGTTTTCGTTATCTTTTTCTTGGTGGTTCTCTTTCTCTTATGGTTTTCTTCTGAATCTGTGTAAAGATCTGGAGTTTTGTGCAATAACGAGAAAATGTGAAGATGGGGCGAAGTGGGGAATTCTTTGAAATGTTTGTCCTAGCTTTCACATCTACTTTTGTATCTTTGCAAAGGCTCTAGCACTGCTACAAGGTTATCCGGGTAGCTTAGAGATGTTAACATCGATACCCGGGAAACGGACGAGAAGAAACAGGGAGGGGGGGAAGAAGGTTGATCCAGCTTTTCTATACTTTTGGGTATTACGTCGGTTTTAGGTGGCGAAAGGGGACAGGGTTGGGGGGGGGGGAGAAACATTGACTTCCTTTCCCTGATAAGCTTATTCCTGTCGTGGTCACTTCTGGTCTCCGGTGGGGTTTCTAACAGCGCCTTTGTTTTCCTTGGGATACCCTAGAGATCTCCGAGTCACCTGTCAATGGCTGGGCGGGTCAGGAGATTCGTTGTCTGAAGGCTTGTCACGAGCTGTGGCCTGATGACCAGAGAGATGGCCTAC